CGGCCTCCTCCCTCCCGGCATCATAGTCTACCTCAGCAAATTGCAATTGTGCTGCAGCCCTATCAGTCACCGCCAACAGACTCCGCAACTGCAGTACGACCTTTAATTGTGTTGTTTGTGCGAAATTAGGAATATCATTATTTGCACCACGTAAGAAAGTTGATTGACGTTGATTTATCATTGGCTCAAACTGACTTAAGGCCTCTTTGAAATGTGATCAAGATAGCCGGTGGAAACGAGAGCGTCCAAATTTTGTCCTGGTATTGTAAATCATATTTTGTTTAAGTAATTAAGGCCGATTTCACAATAGCTGATCCTTACACTAACACATACAACGTTGATCAGAAAGGTTGTCTAACCCCCAATTCCAAGTGTTTTGCACAGGTGAAGGTTAACAGGTAATTACCCCATGTGTATGGCGACATTCTCAGAGCCAACCTGGGGGGGGGGGGGGGGGGGTATAGTGACTAACAAGTCATCATCAAGACTGAGGTAATTACCTGTTCACCTTCACCTGAACAGGTAATTCAGTTGTGACCAAGTCTGTCAGAGTTAACAGAAGAAACAGTCAACAGGTAGATCAAATACCTGGATCTATCATAAATGAAAACTTTCTGACTATCGATTAGGGGACTTATCAATCAGAGTGAATGAAATATAGAATCGCTTATGAGGCAAAATATATGTCGGGTTACTGTGATGTCGCAACTTTTGATGTTTGAATCAAATAATGGCATACATATCTAGAGATGTAATGATGATATGGGATCGTGACGATATGCGCTTTTTTTCGGATTTGGGGGTGATTTTTCGTTGAAATGCGAATATTTTTTTTCTCGGAATGTGTGTCCAAACAACAGAAAATCCCATCTGCATATTAACGAACGGTTTTAAAGACTTCTAAAAATGAAGACATGCTTGTATAACAGATGTAAATAAATGGTATGTTTTGAGCACAGTCCAGAACAGTGCATTGAAACAAGACAATGCTAGTCCGCAGATCAACGTTGGTTGTGAATGGGGCCAATTTATCAGAGAACTTTACTGATCAGCCGTCTAAATATGGCCAACCCCACATCAAAAGCGACGCCGCTAATTCCATGATGGTCTTCCTGCCTCCACACTCGCCGTCGCTGCAGAGCCCTAGCAGTTAAACCTCGGAGCCGAGATTTAGTACTAGTTACAACACGAATCATCCAATGTATGCAACATACAAGAGCGTAATTATATCTGACTTATTCCACGACTGGCCCTTCCAACAATAGAAAAAAAAACGAACCGAAGAGAATGAAAATACAGACAAACCTGTACGCAAAATACAAGTGCAATTATCCTTCTGTTCGAAGCGCCAGCCGTGGTATAAATCGGGGAGACCAGCGGAAATCAGCGATATTGCTTTTGAAGTGTGGTCAGCCATATTTAGTCGGCGGATCAGTAGGTCCTCGGAGGCTGTCAGAATGTCACCTTTGTCTTGGCATTTGTCACTGATTAGTGCCTACTCCGGTGTAAAAGGTGTATTAATGTGATCATATGTGTAGAATTTCAGGTTAGATGGACATATAAAGATCTAAAAATTCGTCAAAATATTTAAAAAATAGATACATCTTTGGACAGTAGTTGTGGATCCTTACGACTCAGTTGTCAGTTAAGAAATACTTCCTGGTTTTCACAAGGTCCTCCAAAGACCCTAAAACATCGTTATAATTGCAGCCCATACCATAAAACACCAAAAATACTTAGATATGGACATATCAGATTATGAAAATGCCAAAATTCCACATGCCAACGATTTATAGGCTCCCGGGCATTCCTTTCCCTTTATGCTCTTTGTCTCGCTGGCGGTCGATGCAGCATGTATTTCAAAACAAGTTGTCTGCAAATTAAGCACGATTTTGCACCTTCAAGTTCAGTGTAACGTTTTCATATCACGTGCCTATTATTTCTCCTCACAAAATGCGTAAAGAAGAAATGTTATTACCATGCTTTTTTTCTCCGAGTCCACGTCTTTCTCTCCCGTTCACCTCCAGCTGAAAATGACCACTCAGCTTCGATCGCGTCTTACACCACTTGACGTCACACTTCTGGCACAATTCTGACCAATGCTGATCTCCTCCGGTACCCCTTATTGATGATTTGAAAAACGTATTATGAGAAAAGAGAAGAATCAAGTATTAGGTATTTCTTATTGATTTAAACGGGAAAAAATTGTATTCTAAAGTAGGTGGTTGTATTAATAAGATACACTGTATATGTGTTTACTTCATTCCCTTAATAAGGAGTAAATTAACCCTGCATGTACATGTACATACTCATGAATCACTTTAAAAATCTACACAGTGACGAGAACTGCAACATTCAGTTCAACTGCTGTCAGCAACACATATAATATTCCCTGACCACAAATAGGTGAGCACAGTAACAGGTAGCTTCATATGGTTTAATTTTATAAAATGCATGGTGCTGTTGTGTTCGATTTCATCAATTTCTCCAGCAAAGGACCTCAACAAAAGATCTTCACGGGATAATTTAGACGTTTTTGGAGATACATTTTAACACAGGTGCCATTCGTCTTATATACTAATCGGAATATACCTTGACTTACACTTACCTGTACTATACTAATCATATCGGTTCCTGGACTTCCATTCTTAGGACTACTATGCCTGTAATACACTGTACCGGTGATGCCGATTCTGAGGGTATAATTACACACGGTATTCATGAGTGAAGCTGTAAGTATAAACTATAAAGCAGATAGTTTACTTATACCCGCGTCATCAAATCGACTACGGTCATTAAAGGCAAGAGAAGGCAATTAGCATAGTAAAGAAAACTTCTTCATGGCCAATAGCATTGAAATTACCTTGTTAATATTTGTCAATGAAACAGATTCACAATCACATTAAAATTCTGTGTATAAGAAATATATTCTTTTCTGGAATAGGGCCCTGGGTGCGGCCCTGATATGAGGTCATTATCCAAAATATTATATTGTTCGTCATATATTCCTTATATGAAAAATGACAAAAATTTTCCAAAACTGCAGTGTTTCATTTTACTGATTTGATATACTTCATCTACATTTAAGATAGAACGTAATTAAAGCGGGTTATTATGCAGGCAATAAGGATTTGATTTGCAAAACATACAGGCAAAAAGAAACTTATGGCTCATTCAGTACATTAGATATGCGACGTCTTTGTTTTTTCCCCACATATTACCTTGACTCCTAAACAGTAATTAAAAAGCTCGAGATGAAAAAGAACCCACTACTAATGACAATAACAAGGAAACAAAACCGTCGTCACAGCCCACGGCGGGTGTGCCATCCAATATCGAGTCCACCCACTCTCAATTAACTTACTCCCCCTGTCAATTAAATTCCATCTGGTGCCAACTCTAGTCAGATATTTGTCATTTTCGACTGACTTTCTTTAGTACCTTCGTTATTTCTTGAAAAGATGACGTTTATAGACTAAATTCCTACTATCAGCAAAATAAACAGTTATTATAAGCTTTACATAAGAAATCTCATGTTCACGTAAGTATCCACAGAGCGTCAGGAGCAGGTGCATATTCTTTTTATTCAAACAGCTGTTATCTGACCTTGTGCGAGATCGTGGAATGACGAAATTGCCTCTTTAACTATTCACCGCATTACACATGCGATTGGGACGTCGGTGATGTGTCCATGGTTTAATTCAGGTCTCATCCCTTCTAGCTGATACTGTTCCTTAATGCATTATTGGGAAAAACGATTTGGTAAAGCTTCAGTTTCTCTCTTCTTCTGGGGGGGGGGGGGTGTCAAGCATAAAAGTCCTTTTTTCGTTAGGTCCTAGAAGGTAAAATATGACAAAAAAAAAAAAGGAAAGAGGATTTTTTAAAGCATGTTTTTTTTTTTTTGGAATTTTGCAGTATCATTATGTGGTTTTGTCCCAAAACAATCTCCCCAGCTTTACTCAGCACAGATGCAAAATCTATTTTAAAATTGTAGGTGTATTTATGAAATATTTTGGCTTATTTTATTCCCGTATTGATGAATAAAATAATTCAACATTCATATATTAAATATTTCGAAGAATTCAAGAATTTGAATTATTACTTCATTAATTTAGCGCTTAGTTTAACTGCTAACAGCTTCGTAGATACTTGCACTGTACGCTGTTCTGATATTACTCCAGCACTTATCTTCAGATAAATTTCTTTCTTACCACAAAAAGCTAGGTTAATAAATTACAATTTGTTTATACAGTATGTCATTTAATAAATAACTTGGCACTGATTTGTTAGGTTTTGAATATTGAATATTTGAATATTGTCTTTATATGCATATTCAGTTTTAAGCTATAGGTGTATTAATGTAATATTTTTAAAATTCCCCCCATTATTAGGAAAATATCAGATTATGTAAAATGAGAATCGATTTTCAATAACGGACACCGAATAAACCTCATCGAACAGACAGTTCAATGCATGGTATCGATATATCGATATAATGATCAATCATGAATTGGATGTATTAGAGAGGATAAGCGGGGAGAGATTATAAGCTTTTTTTCATCGGTAAAAAATAGAATTTGAATTGCGATTATAAGTTCTGTAAATTAGACGGCCTTCATCTTTCAATACGCTTGTCAACCTGGTTTTATGACTCAAGAAAGCTTTTTTCACATCAATTCGTACCATTCAAGGTCTTTTAACTTCTGGTGTCCCCTTGACATTGTAAAGGTAATTCTGTTTCCCAATTTTTCTGGTGGCGTATGAAGAGCAATATGTCATTTTAATAAACTGACTCCGCCCCTTTTCTAGATAGGCCAATGAAAACGTGACACACGGAACACGTGTAGAATTGACGTCAGAATTAATCTTTATCAGAACATCCATTGGTCGTTTTTGTTCCACCTCAATGAAAGTTTAATGAACTTGAGAAGTATACAAATCTTTGCACTGACGACTGCCAAGAGAACTTGCCGAAATAACTGTTCGTTATGGATCGACGCCTTATGTCACTGGCCGTGGCCATGGTGCTGGTTTATGTTGGCCCGAGGGCGACTGTAGTTGGCGTTGCTACTCCGTCAGAGCTTGAAATAGCGCTGATGCCTAATGTGGTCATGGCACCGTTGCCAGAAGGACCAGAAATACGTAAGTAGTAGCAACGGGCTTAATACAGTTTGATTGTCGTCGAAAACGCAATGTATGTTTTTGTCACTGCTGCTGTTATGCAACGTTCACTGTGATTGCGACAATCAAAAGATATGTCGAGCTTTTTGTATGGCAAGGTGTGAAACTCAAATGATTATATTATGAAATGCAGAGATATAGGCAAGATTAAATGGAGCCTGCCTTAATTAGAAAAACATCGATTATTGCAGTTAGTAGGGTAAACCCTATACCTAGATTGAATGCATTTTAAAAACCTACACCTAAACTGAGTAAAAAGGTTTTCTCTTTTACACCCGTGGCTTCAGAGGGCTATAGGATCATTCTCATCTCTCTGAAAGACTGCACATGGGGAACGGCATTAAACAAAACAAAACATATATATATATATATATATATATATATATATATATATATATATATATATATATATATAATAAAAAGAAAAAAGAACAGCAGCTATTTTGCCCCGATCGGTTTCATTGCATCTTCAGGGGGTTTGTTTATTTTGGTTACTATATGATGTCATAAAGGCTGAATGTGATGTTTCTAACAATGGGTATTTCATTGTTGCTTTTACCAATGCTGTTACCTGTTTAATGTAGGTTTATACTTATTGATATATATATTCACCTTTTTTACTTCTTTACTAAGCAGAACAAGAAACTTAATTCATACTGTTGTTAAAGCTTTTTGAAGCTTTTAAGCTTTTAAAAATGCAAAAATCCATGGAACATAGCACATCATACTTACATGTACATGTAGAAGTGACATTCTCAGTTAATATTAACATTTTTATGTTTTTGTAGTTAATGATTCCTCTTGTTGGGGACACGGCGATGTACGTTACGACACTCTAGATGGCAGACAGTTCAGATATCCTTCTCCAGTTGAAAAATACGGCGTTATGATCCTTCCTTGGATAGGAAATCCGTGGTGGGTGATAACTGAGCACGAGTTACATGGTGGACCAAATGCCACGCGCATCAAAGAAGTATACGTGAAGTGTCCAACTAACATCTACTTCAGGGCTACATTGGGGGGGCGTGTCAACTTATATGTGAGTCTTCTTTCTTACAGTTTTAAATACACTGAGCACCTTTTGCACCAAGTTAATAACCAAACCCCTTATTCTCGTTTCTCTAAGAGCTGCTGTCAACACGTTAATTACACACAGTCCATAGCGCTATGTTAACATTCTTGCATTTCGCTTTCAGTATTGGGATGGCGCTGCATGGGTTCTCATTGATGCCGCAGGCCTACCAGCTAATTTCCCCCCTCCAGATGGGACCGCGTGGGTTTATGCTTCAATTCAAAAATTCAAGATAGATTGCAAAATGGACCCATACATGTTCGTCCTTGTCTATCGGCACAGTGTTAAGATATACGCGAGCGGTCAGTGGGCCGCCGGTGGCCCTCATGCATTACGTGGTATTTGCGCGGACTTCAATGGCAACCCAGGCAACGACTGTGTTAATTTGGGGGCACCTGAACCTTTCCAGGACTGGACACCTTTCTTAATTCCTTAATCTTGGACGAATTATGACAAAGTTCGAACGTTGACGGTATAAAATGCAGGGGCGGATCCAGAGTTATTTTCTGACAGTCTTCCAAATTATCTTTGTTGATCCGTCCTCCATTTTTGACCGTCTTCCGACAGAAAGAATTGGATACCCGTCAATGTAAACTTGAAAATCTGACCGTCTTCCGGAAGACCCAGAAGACGCCCTAAATCCGCCCCTGTAATTTGTACCCCAGTAAGGTAACGACATCACCGGTATGTCAGGAATGGGAGTCCGGGTACCTTATGACCTTTAAGGAACATGAACAAGGACTAACGAAATATGAAATAGGACAAAGAAAACGTATAGGCAAACAGAGACAACAAACAGGACTGAAATCCACAGGAATAGGATGAAAATTGGAACGCGAACTGCAATTTCACTTAACAAAAATGCCTGATTCTTGGATCTTTATGGTTCAGATACTGTTTCCTTCAATTATGCTAATTGACTTTCATTTACTGTGGAATAATTGGTCAGTTATTAATACCAATGGGTTCTTTTTCATGCTATCATACTTATACATTTAATTATTTTAGTAATGGGATGGTGCTTATGGCAAATTATTTGGTAGGGCATATAATGTATGTGTCTGTGTAATATCTTATTTTCCCATAACATATGTATTGCAATGTAGATTAAATTAGTATTCGCATTTGATATATTACAGTGATTCAAATTAAAACATTTTTTCCAATTTTAATTTTAAATACATCTTTGAACGGACAGAATAGTAATGGTAATGGTTGTGATATTTTGAGGCACTGTTTTCAAATTTGGAATTCTTCAAGTGAGCGAAATGATAGAAAATGGTGTATTTACCTTGGTATATACATATGTATTTATTAGATCTTGATTAGTTTACCTTTGCTGAATTCTGAATAGGAATGTTTCTGTCCACCATATTTATATGGGATATTGATTAGAATGAATATTTAGTTATTAGTTATAGCGAAAGACTGATTTATTTCCTGATCCACATTATTTTACCAAGGCAGGGTGCTTATTTGTGTATTGTTACGGTGAAGACATAATACGAGGTTGTGGTGGTATATTTATTCAAACGTAGACTTAATAATTGTTCTTCTGATATATAAGAGGGATTTTAATTTAAAACTTTTCATTGAAATGTAACAATCTTTAATGTGTGGAATATGTGTTACATGTAAGTGAGAGGGTTAGAGAGACATTCTGAAGTTCTGTTTGCTTATTTCAAATATTTAAAATGATAAAAAAGATTGTGTATATTTATGAGGTCTAAATCATTTCTTTCTTTTAGCTTTGCTTAATATTGAATAAAAGAGGTTAAAAAAAGCTGTTGACGACATTTTTATTCGAAAGGATATTGTTAAAGAGGGAAGCTACAGCTATGTTACAATATAGGAAATGATAACTGCCCTTATAATCAACAGGAACCATGCAATGCGTGGGACATGGAAAGTGACCCTTTCGGTGCTCTGATTTTTTAAATTGACCACGAACGGTCATGGCAAAATAATAATAATAATAATAATAATAATAATAATAATAATAATAATAATAAGTTAAAGTGACGCTGCAATGGCAGATAGGCACAGCGGGAGAGTCGACGACCAAAGGGTTCAAATAATGCCGCATGTGGTATATTCACTGCTTCACTGGGGGTCCCAGAGGAAGGGGCGGCACCGTCGGAGATTATGTAAAGGGGGTTCGGGGCCCGCTGAAAGGGCCCGAAAATTTTTGGTCTTTTAAAGGGTGAACGGTGCCATTTGGTACGGTTTAGAACTATGATTCCGCAAACCAAAAATTCTAATTTCAAGAGGGGGCTTTTGGTGTGGTTTTTCCAGGACCCCTTGGCACCCCCCCCCCCCAAATCCGTCACTGTGCCGTGGGTGAAGGAGATTGATTCGGTTGGTCGACAAATATGTACATGAAGAAATTAATTTAAAGCCCTCCTCCACTCCTAACTCCTGACAGTCTGCCTCAGCAAATTGTGCTGCAGCCCAATCAGTCGCTACTAACAGACTTAGCAACTGCAGTACTACCTTTAATAGTGTTTTTTTGTGACTGTCATTATTTGCACCACGTTAAGAAGTTGATTAACGTTGATTTATCAATATCTCAAAGTGACCTCAAGCTTTTTGACAGAACAAAATGAGTGATCAAGATGGTAAGATTGAGTGCGTCCAAATTTTGTCCAGCTACTGTAAATCACACCCTTTTAGACAAATTTGGGCTGCAATCACAACATATGATCCGCAGACTAACTCCGGCCCATGAAAGCAATGTTGCATAATCCCAAAATTGTCTCCCCGTCTATAAAATGCGAATTCATGATGCGCATGCGCAATCTCGACGGATCTCAGAAATGCTGTATGAGTAGGTAGAATCCAAAATGACCATAATAACGTTATGGAAAAGACAAAGAAGGAGCTGAAAATTATTTCTTCTTTCAACTTGGTGAATGAAATTTCGACATATCTCAGTTAAATGATATACCTGCATTTCAAGCATACAGCAAAATAAAAGTAAAACAGCTTATCTATATAACACACAAAAAACATGTTTTGAACACTTGTCTCTCGGATGACAATGCATTTTATCAATATGTTGCTGTACAGACAACTGTCAATGTCAATAACTGTGTAATATACAACGTACTAATGATCATTAAACGCTACTAGCACATACATGTAACTGTATAGTATTACACCTGGATCTTTTTCACAGAACTGTTGGATTCACACCGCGACATGCATGAATATTATTTCATATTGCAGATGACAAAAAGTATAAAAAATAACCTAACATGGTGTCAGTATTTTTCTGTTGATGAACATATGATACGTGTTTCATAAGGGTGTTTTTGCACGAGCCTTTGGTAAAATTTCCTGTTGAATGTTTTGAAAAAAAAAAGAAAACTTGTGCGACGTACGGCACAAATAAAAATGCTTCTTTTTCCAACATGACAATTTCCGTCTGGCAATTATTCCAAACCCCTATATTTTCAGAGCGTATACAGAATGAGTTTGCATATGACAAAACAAAGGATTCATGGCAGAGAATGTTGACGAAACTGATGCGGGTGAAGTTTTAGGGAATCAGTCACAAACAGGTGAAGTGCCTCGGTTTAATGGAGAGGAAAGGAGACAAAATCGCCAAGCTTCATTCGGTAAATGAAATAGTGGAAGAGGACGGACAATTCGAGGCTATAATATCAGGCCCCGCGTAGCCAGCTATTTCAAAAGAGGGGGTCTTTTTCTGAAATATTGCACATTTTACTGAGAAACCTCATATACCTAGATCAATTTTTAGCAAAAACAGATCTTTTCCCTTGAAAAAAAGCAGGTTCGAACCTCCCTGAATCCCCCCCCCCCCGGCTACGGGCCTGGATATTAGGGAGCAGGGAACAGGAATGCAACATTTTATTTCATTTTTGCATTTTATGTGTTGAATGTGTGCTCCATTGAGGGGGCAGTTGACTATTTGCTCAGGCGAGTGCTTTGCTCATTCCTACTATGATTTACCTATTGCTTAATATATCGCCTATGTTGGTTTTCTTCGTGGTTGTACACCAACTGCAATAGATTGCATTTTTCGTAAACATGAATTTGTATTTTTAATCCTAGGTCGACTTCGCTGAGGTTTTTGCTCTAATGAAATTAGGAGGGGGGGGGGTTATAAGGAAATTATCTGTGTATTTGTTGCCCATATTTTCAAAACACCACCAAACCCAAAATGACACTCAAAAGGAACATCCATGCCTTTCATTTGCTACAGTTTTTAGGCGTGTTTGTAGTAACATTAATGGTGTCAAAGGCATTTTTTTTTTCATGGCTGACCTTGTCTCATTTGCTGATTGGTTGGATAAACCTGCAGTATATTTAGATATCTGATGTGCCACGTTTTACGGTCAATTCAGTTTTTGTCTGTTTCACTCTCAATCATCACAGGTGAGATGCTGCCACTTACATTTACTAATACTGGAGTCTGGCTGTTTTGGCTTTTGGTGTTGTTTTGTGATTGTTATAGTGTCTACATTTACTTTTATATGGATTCAAGTATCATATCCACCTACAGATTGTTCAGCAAGAGCAGCTTCCATTGGTACAATGTGTAATTGTAATTTCTGATCGATGTTTAGTTTGACATATGTATGTAGTAATAAGTCTATATTTAACGAAATACTAGTGCAGCGCTGTTTTATGATTAATGTTTTCTTTTTGTAATTAGCCCCCTACAAAGCCATTTGAGGTCCATTTCAGAGGATGCGTCATCACCTTGTTACAGTAACAGTACTTGCTACTGTTCTCCTAGCTGTAACCTTCACTAGCACTGTCGAAGCTGTTTGCTGTAACGACGCGTTTTTTATATATAACTTTTGCGTTGACTGTTCCGAGGTAAGGTATTTAATTGTATTATTACGAAGCATTATGTCCATCAAATGGCACATGTTATAGTACAACTGTTACTCGATCCATCCCCATTGAACTTTTTCAACGCCGTATAGTTGATATTGAAAAAGGCAAAGTTTGTCATTCTTTTTTGTTTTACAGCTCGACGGATTTTTTTGTGGAAAGGGCGGCTGTAACGTATTTGGTTGCGCATGCGAAGGGGGCTGTAAAGAAAACTGTTCCCCTGGGCTGTTTATGATACCGTAAGGGATAATAGACATTTTCATGTCATGCTATTATATTAATAGCTTATCACGTCATATCATCTGAAATTTGTGGCTTTTCGAAAATACTGAGTTATTTTAAAGATATAATATCAGAAATCAATGTTTCTTCCTTTATAGGTATATCCATGAGATTTATCCGCCAAAATGGATTTTCTCGGGAAAATAAGCAATTTTCCAAGGAAAATTGTATTCATTCATCTATATCTCTGTGCATTTAGATTCTACAATTGATAAAATATATAAAAAATGATCTAAGCTTAAAATGATCGGTCAGGCATTATAATAGTGGTAATTTTCCTATAAGCTC